GGTGAGGGGCTGAAGATTTTTAAAGAGGCAGTACTGCTTATCCTGTACCTCTGCCAACTGGACCTCCTGACTTCGCGCAACTCTCTTAAATAAATCTTGGAATTGTTTAAGATCGGCAGGGGAAGGAAAGGAGGGGGCGATATATCGCCTAGAATTATGGCCTCATCAGGAGAGGATGATGACTGATCCGTGGGGGAAGTGTTGGGCTGCTGTTCCTCTACCTCTAATAATTGCCCTTCCTCAGGTGCCGCCTGATGTGTTTGAGCTGAGGAGCTTTGCGGTGGCAGCAGCGGGTGTTCCCATGGCGGTACAGAAGCAGGCAGATAACTGGGTGATCTATGGCAACAAGGGGACCATCTCCTAGATGTAGCTGCTGGTGATGATAATAGGAAGAGTAGTACGGTGTACGATTGCAATGGTAACTGTGATGATGATGCAATCGTCTAGGTGAGGCATGCCTAGAAGAGAATGCACTCCTATGCTCTTCCCAATATGCAGCATGTGGTGAAAGCGTTGGTGAGTGAGGAAGTATTACTGATCCTCTTGACGAGAGGTGTGGAAAGAGAGAAAGGTGCCTCACGTGATAGCAAGAACCTCTCCGCAGTGCCGCAGGAAACGGGGATGAGATCTCCGATGTGATGAAGTATGAAAACTCTTCTCATTCCGTATGAGTGACGCACAGCACCGGTGACCTCGGTGCCGGTGGAGAAGGTGACAGTGATGGAGAGAATGTCGAGAAGACAAAAGTAGGCCTCGGACTCCAACGTATGGTAGTCTTTACAGGCACCTTCTTCGGTGCCAAAAAAGCACGGCCCTCTCTGGTGCCGGGCTAGATTGCCACATGGGCTCCACAGCCTGGGTGCCGGTGGTGCCGATGTGGCCGGCGTCGATATTGATTCCGGTGTCTTAGAAGATGAGGCTGCCAGCGCCGATGTTGATCTCGGTGCCATCAGTGCCTGCAAGATCAGCACCGAAGGAGTTGTCTTTTGTGACTGGAACCGCCTTTGAATGTGAAGAGGTGGTACTGGATGTTCCAGGCTTATCACCCGTGCTCACCCTGCTCAGTGAGACCGGCGGAAGTGACCGTGCCGGTGAAGCCTGCATCTTTTTTGCCAGAGCTGCCCCTGGAGAGGACACTCTCTGTTTTTGTGTGGTGGCAGGGTCTGTGAGAGCTGTGGATGCCAAGCCCGGTGGCTGGAGCACCTTGTGAAACAGGGAAATGTGCCTCTGGATGATTCTATCTTGCTGGGCTCTCGCTGTTAACTTTGAACAGTGGGAGCACTTCTGAGGCACATGAGCCACGCCCAAACAGCAGATACATGAAGAATGGCAGTCTGAGGCTGGCATGGGCTCGCAACAAGTGTCACATTTCTTAAAACCTGGAGAAACCAGCATCGTCGGTTTGGTCTTAAATCTATTTGGTTGTTCTGTTTTTTCTTTGTGGCCTAAGGGCCGGTAGAAAACAAAGAAGTAGTTTCTGGGTTTTTTTTTTAATAAACTACAAACTATAACTATTAACTATAAGTTGACTAATATTAACAACATCAACAACCACAAACAAATAACTCTCTTTTATTTCCTGACTAGACGAAGTAGGAGAGAAGAACTCGCTCCGTCTGTGACCGAGCGTGGCTGAGAGGAACTGGCGGGAGCCGGACCACGCGCATGTGCAAAAGAGCATGAACGCTGCGAGGCACCAGTCGCGCATGCACAGTCTGGCTAACCACTGCTGCTCATAACTCCGATCAGTGGTGCCAAGCCCAACACCTATAGTAGAGCACGGGGGCATCACTCGAAGAAGAATATAAGAGTATTATGAACTTCAGACACTTATTTTCCTAAGTCAAAGGTAGCCTCCTGGTTAGCATCCCAAAATCTACATGCTCAAAAATGTTAATACAATGCTTTATATTGGTGAAGGAGGGGAAAAGGATCAGAGAACCTACTTTTTATAGTTTTACAGCTAAAGATGAGGAGTCTGATTTACTGCAGATCCACTTCCTTACAGATAAGGTGAATGCTGGCAGTGGCCACTCCACAGTTAACTTGGAAGCTAACCTGTCTCATTCCTGCCTCCCAAATAAACTAATCTTTCTGTGATTCTGAAGAGCTATATGGCACAGAGGAACTGTCTGGATCCCACAAATGATGACTTTCAGACTTTTGTGGATGAGAGTGTGGTACAGTTTTTCTAAAAGAGATAAAATTTTGGAGGGTGCATTTAACTGGGCTCCACTGTTTATCTCTTGAGGTCCCTTCCAGCCTTACATGTCCATGAGTGCCTGAAACACACTTTCAAATTTCATTTTTTTAACTTAGTGGAGCTTTGTTTTTGGGGGGTGGCTAGGTGGGTGTTCAAGTAAATTACATTTCCTACTCTTTGACAGTAATTAAAGTAAAAATATCTAGATGCAAAAGCATTAAGAAATGTATTGCTCAGTAAGGCAGCAAATCATTTTTAAAAGAGACTCAATCTGTTTAGACAAGGGATGTAATAGTGTAGTCGATTAACCAATAAGCAAAAGCTAATGGGTTAATTCTATAGATTACATACATTTCTGCTCCCCCTTCCCCAACGAGTAATTTTTTTAGCAGGCTGGCCAGCAGCCCGGTTCAGTTCTGGCTCACACTGGGTCTGGGACCTACCCCCACTGCAGCTCTGCATTTAAAGTGTATTAGGAGCCAGGCAAACAGGAAGCTCAGCTCAGTTCCAGTTTGCGCCGGGTCCAGGAGTTCAGACCTCCCCCCGGAGATGAGCTGCTGCCCCCCTGCACTGCTGCCTCTTTATCAGAGGCAGCAGCACAGGTCAACAAGCAGCCAGTCCGCAAGAGGAGCTGGTTTTTAAACTGGCTCCCCTTGCGGACTAGCTCCCACCTGGCACCCGCACTGCTGCTGGTCCCGCCCCCAGGGACTATAGAATAGTCAACTAACCGATAAGAATTCATGAGGTTACTCGACTATTCAATTAACTGATATTTAACATCCCTAGTTTAGACCCAAAATACAGGTACAGTAAAAATGTAAAAGGGACAACTTGTAAATTTGTTCTTTAAATAAATTACCACTGGTGTGTGCAATATAATCACCTGTAATAATACATGTCTTCAGTACTCAACTGGGCAAAGGAAAGTTTCCTAACAATGAGTTCTTAATGGTAGAATTGCATCATGAAAAATTATCTTGGAAAGCACTGGTCAATGTTACTTCCCTTTCAGGAAGGGTGGAGTGGATGATCTAACAGACCTTTTTTCACAAGTTATTTCCATGAGTCTATGTACACCTTTTCCTGATGGTATGCAGCTATTTCTGTCCTACATATAAGAATGTTTGTTTGCCTACACAGATGCTGATATTTGCTAAATTGATCGTTTTTCTGAAAAAAGTAAACAAGAGCATTCATTGAAATAAACTGAAAGTTAACTTATCTGACATTTGCAATCCTCTTCCATCATTTTTATGAACATTTGTCCAAATACATTTGAATGTTCACAGAAATTCATAAATGTGAATTTGCGCTCAAAGCGCAAGAAGAATGCATGAAATTGACTCACAGGTATTGTGCTGATTCAGTGCTTTCGATAAGGACCGAATTCATCAGGCTGACAGTGCAGCAACTCAAGCCAAGTCTATGTTCGTAGATCAGTATAACGGAGTTGCTGAGGAGTGTGAGAAATCTATGCCCCAAGGCATGCAGTTATAGTGACCTAACCCTAATGAAGACTGATGTCATTAGCATATCAGGCCTTGTTACATGGAACTCATACAGTGGCCTGATGCTTACTCGTGACAAAGGGGGGAAACAGAGGATCTTCTGTTTGGACATAATGGAACTTTGTTGAAGGGGTCACTTGAATCCATATTTATGTGCATACGTGTCATTATTCTATGCTGGTTGGAACTAGGGATGTTAAAAATATCGATTAACTGAACAGTCAATTAACCTCATGAATTCTTAACAGTTACTCAACTATTCTCTAGTCCCCAGGGGTGAGGCCAGCACCCAGTACACTCTGGCCCCACTCCCAAGGAGCCCCCTGCCACTCTGCACTGCTGCCTCTGATACAGAGGCACAAGCATGGGATGCAAGGCGAGAGGTGGTCTGTGAGAGGACCCAGTTTAAAAACAAGCTCTCCTTGTGGAGTAGCTGCCTGTCGCCCTGTACTAGTGCCTCTGATACAGAGGCAGCAGTGTGTGATGGGAGCAGCCTTTGTCTGGGGTCCTCGGGTGCTGGGGCAGCAAGGAGAGGAGCAATATCGGGTCTGAGCTTCTGGACCCGGCGCAAGCTAGGATTGAGCTGAGCTGCCTGCCTGCACGGCTCCCAATACACTTTAAATGCAGAGCCACAGCAGGGGTAGGTCCCGGACCCAGTGCAAGCCAGGTCTGATCCGGACTGCTGGCCAGCATGCTAAAAAATTTACTCGAAGGGGGGGGGTTCATTAACAACCCAATCATGCTTGCCTCTGATCAAGCCAGCCTCCACTGCCACTTGTTACATTTTTCAACAAGAATCTTTGTGTTTTTTACCATGCAGCCCTTATGCTTCAGAGGCACTCATTGCACAAAGCTACCTTGCTAGCCACCTTCAAATCTCTCCTCAAATCTCCTCTTTGCTATAATGCCTACAAAAAACTTGATAATGGGTAGTCTGTTGGTGTGCAGAGACCATTGCCCATTATGCTGGCCAGCACTGTCTCATTGTACTCCTGTCTACCTTTTGTCACTTACTTAGTTTGTAAGCCTTGGGACAGAGACAGTCTTTTTGTTTGCTGTTTGTACTGCTCCTATTACAATGGGGCCTTACTCCATGTCTATGGCTCCTAGGCATTAAGATAATAAAAATTATAATTGCCATTGAAGTACTTTTGCAATGAAATACTATTTGGTGTGAGTAGGGGCATCTGATAAGGCCATAATATATACATTAAACTTAAAGCTAGTACACAGCTGTAGGTTTGCCTCTGACACAACAGTTACTAAAACAAGTGTTTTAAAAAACTCACCAGTAAGCTGTAAATGTACTGAACTAGAACTGTCTGCTTTTTTGACATTTTGTTCCACATTTAACAGATGAGCTTTTAAGCTAGTGTTCTCTTCCAACAACTGGTCTAAACGTTGCTTCAAGATATCCTAGTGAAATTTTTTTTTAAAAATGAAGAGAAACAGAACAGACATTAAAAAGGAAAGTGATAACAGCTGAATATTTTTCCAATAAATTATTCTTTGAAAGTATAAACATGAAAAGGCAAGACATGGTATTCCTGATTTATTTTTTTCTGTGACCTAGTTCCATGAAAAACAAAATATTACACCAATCACTGAATCACAGTAGTCCAGAACTTGGAAAATCTGGTATCATTCTCTCTGGATCTGAAGTCACAATTCAAATAGAGGGAGAATTATATCAACAGGGGCCCAGATTAACTGTTTCTATGGTAACTGTGAGCTGCTGATTATCCATAGCAAGGAGGATTTTTCCATAGGGTGAAATTTCACATAGTCATAATCAAGGATGTTAAATTTAGATTAATCATTTTAATCAAATAGTCAATGTAATTTGCATCAACTATTCACTTAGTCAATAAGGGCGCTCTGCCTTTGAAATGTACAAGAGCCCTAGAAGGGCTGTTTGAGTCCCCAGCTTGCCCAAGGCTCCCCACAGCGTTTCTGCTTTTGAAATGTACAAGAGCCCTGCTTTTAAGCTGGCTCCCCCCAGCACCCGATATTGCTCCCCTCCTGGCTGCCTCTCCCTGATAGAGGCAGCAAGGGTGGGGGGGGGGATGAAGCGAGTAGTCGAGTCGACTATCCAATAAGCATTTGCTTACATCCTAGTCACAATGGTAACTACTTTCTTCATGGGTCCATGGCTTATAGGGCTGTGATGTGAATTTATTTCACAAATACATCTGACGAAGTGGGTCTTTGCCCACGAAAGCTTATGCGGCAACACTTTGGTTAGTCTATAAGGTGCCACAGGACTCCTCGCCGCTTTTATTTCACAAAGTAACTCATTACTGACTTGAAATGGCAGTCTCACAGGCAAGCAGAATCTCTCTTCCTGGATTCCTTGGGGGGGGGGGGGTTGTATTGCTCAGCAACAGCTCAAGCTACTGAGGAACAAGGATTTAAAACCCAAAATCCACATAGTGCTATTCATGCACAAGGTAGCTTCTTGACCATAAACTCCATAGCAGAGAAATGGTCTGTCCTTTCATGTTGTTTTCGGGCACTGAGGATAAAGGTACAAGGGATCCCATATCCCAGAAAGGAAAGACTCACAAATAGGGAACGAAAGTAGTATGCTTGACTAATTATAGTTCCAAGTGAAAACGTGACAGAATAATCCTTGTCTGATGTGATGTGGCACGCAGGCCCCATGCTGGTAAGCAGATTGAGGGACTGCGGACCCAAAGCCCCATCCAACTACAACTACCGATGGTGTCGGGGGTGGAGCGGAATTAGGGAGCAGAGCTCTGCTTCTCCTTTGATGGGAGAAGCCTAATTACAGCCAAGAGTCTGAGACGCAGAACCACACAAACGCAGGACTGGAAAGAACCTTGACAAGTTATCTAGTCCAGCCACAGGACTAAGTATAACTATAACATCGCTGACATGTTTGAATAACCTAGTCTTAAAAACCTCCAATGACAAGACTTCCAAAACTTTCCTTGGAAGCCTATCCCAGTTTTTAACTCTCTTTATAATTTAGAAATGGCTTCCCCCCCTCCCTTAATATCTAAACTAAATCTCCCTTGCTGCATATAAAGTCCATTATTACTTATCCTCCTTCAGTGGGCATTGAGAGCAACTGATTAATGTCCACTCTTGTAACACCTCAACTTGCCTCTAGACTTACCAGCTTTCTTCTCAGTCTTCTTTTCTCAAGACTAAACCAACCTCCTCTGGACTCTCTCTCCAATTTGTCCACATCTTTCTTCAAATATGGTGCCCCAAACTGGACACAGCTGGACTCTCAGGGTACGTCTACACTTGTGCTCTAGTTCAAAATAGGGATGCAAATGTAGCCGACCAAAATTGCTAATGAAGCAAGGATTTAAATATCCCGCGCTTCATTAGTATAATCTTGCCCACACGCTATTCCGCTCGCCCGCTGATTCAAACCAGGAAGTGCGCTCTGGGACACGTTAGTTCAAATAAAAAAAAATGAGGAGTAACATTAGTTCGAACCAAGGGGTTTGACTCAAACTAACACATCCTGGAGCGCACTTCCTGGTTCGAATCAGCTGGTGAGCAGAACAGCGTGCAGGCGAGATTATGCTATTGAAGCGCGGGATATTTAAATCCCCACTTCATTAGCAATTTCGGTTGCCTACATTTGCATCCCTAGTTCGAACTAGGGAGCAAGTGTAGATGTACCCTCACTAGGGCCAAGTAGAATGGGACTACTCTCTCCAGCATTTTACTTACAAGATTACTGTTCATAATATTAGCAAAATAATATTAGCATTTTCTGAAGCAGTTCATATTTGAGATCCACAACAACCACCCAGGTCCTCTTCTACAATAGTACTCCCTAGGCAGTATTCAGATTTTGTAGCTGTGAATTTGATTTTTTTTTCTATATTAAGTGTAGCATTTTGTACTTGTTTTTATTGAATTTCACCTTTGTTTTCAGAGCAATTCTCCAGTTTACTGAAGTATCCAAAAACCTCCCATCTTGGGGCCTTCTGCAGATTTTATAAGTGCACTCTCAACTCCATTTTCCAAGCTGAAAGGGGATGCAAGCACCTTGGAGACCAGACCTCATGATGGCTAGACAAATCTCCCACCAGATGGGATGACTGAATCCAGGGAAATTGACCAAAAAGAATGGTTGTGTTTGAAGACATTCCTTGAATAAAAGGGCCGAGTCCAGCTGAAGACTCTCAGATGACCCTTTTTTGAGAGGTAGCAACCGTCTGGCAGAGATCCTCATGACAGGGTGAGTAGTGCACAAAGAGGCACCACTAAAGTGGGAACTGTCTGATCGTATGCTTTCAGTGCAATTAAAAACTACTGCTGGCCCCTGGCTGCCAACTTGGGCTCTTGGGGATTGGGTAAGGGGTTGTTCTAATTCCAGATTCAAGCTAGAGTGTGAGTGTCTTAGAGATAACATGGAAATCTACACTGCAGTTAAACTGCCTCAACCTACACCCTGCAAGCCCTAGTCAACTGCAGGTGTCTAAATTTCAGGGTAGACATACCCACAAGGTCTACCACAGAATGGCTTAGATATCCATTCTTATCAGACATGTCTATACCTACACTGGATCCAGTTCAGAATTGTTCAAGACTTTTCTGTTTTACCTATTTTGTTGTTTTATTCTTTGTTTACTCCAACTGAAAAACCTGTCAATAGTGCCCATGTTTTCATAAAGTGTGACCTAAGGCAATCGTGCAGCTGTGTGTCAACTTTTTGCATGCAAACCAGGTGCTGGGTGCCCACTTTATAGCTGTGATATCCTGGGTTGAAGCGATCAATGAGATGTCCCAGATGAAGAGGGGCTCTCTGTAATGGAAAGAATTTACAGTAGATTTCTTCAATAAAAAAAACGAGCAATAGAAGAATCTCAAATCAAATTGGAGGATGGTACTGGATAAACCCACATTTCCCAGAAGCAAATAATTAGAATAGCAAAATGTCCCTCAATAGGACAAGTTTGATGAGAAGATAGGGGGAATGAGACAAGAGGCGAGGAGGGCAAAGCCACACAAGGGCAGTCTCTCTGTTGTGAGATTTGCAAATCTAGTTTAAGTGTTAGAATGAAGTAAGAAAAGAATGGCTTTTCTTGGAATCTTATTAGCAGCAAGTCTAGAAGAAACTTGTCAGGATTTCTGAGACAGGAAAAGGTATTTTGTTGATAGTGTGATATGCCTGGCAAGGTTAAAAAGGCAGAAGGTGACAAATGGGGCTAGAAAGAGAGATCAGTGGCCTCCACTTCATTGGTATCAAACGGAAATGACTAATTGAAAAAGACAATGGCAGTACCTTGGTCTGCACCAGAAATTGCCTTTTTTTTTTCTTTAGAAAGAAAACTTAGCAAATTCTTGGCAGTGCTCACAGGAAAAAAAACATAAAGAAAGATGTTTGTAGCAGTGTGCTGATTAAGGAGTTGCTAGTCCAGAGCAAGATTTGAGCTCCTAGGTGACGACTGCCAAACCAGGTCTCTGTAAAGTTCAGAAAGCTTTGGGAGAGAGTAAAGTGGACTTTTCACAGGTTTCAATGATAATCATCAGATCTGAACCCTGACGTCCACAAATTGAAAGCTAGTATATTAGCTATCCATACTAACAAGATCTTTACAATTTGGATTAGAAATTCACGCGTGATTAAGCACTTACATTTTACCACAAGTGCATTCAATTTCATCCTAACAGAAAAACTAAAAGAAAATAAGTGCCATGCTCACCATGTCTTTCTGAGAATTGCTCAGTTCTGACTCCAGACTGTTAATCTTTATGTTGTATTGATGATCTTGTTCAGACAAATGACTTTGTAAAGTCTTTTTCTCTAACAGCAGATTATTCACCTCCTGACATGTTGTAGCAGAATCTTTTTGTTGATCTGCAGGTGCAGATTTCTGCATTTCAGACAAAACAGGTCCTGCCTGAGCTATGAATTAAAAACAGAACAGAGCAGATTAGACCAGGGTATAAAACAATGCCTGTAGTTAGCAATAATGGTACAAAAATCTAATCAATGATTTCTACTGACTTCAATTAAATTAATCTGAAGTTATTCTACAGAAATTTACTACAGAACTTGGCTCAGTAAGTAGAACTGGACTGAAGAAAATTGCTATCCTGTAAACCTAAAAACACATCCTACTGCTACATTTCTGCAATGGAAAGGTAACATCAAAACTTATGTCATAAATCATGCAAGAATTTGTGAAGTAAAAATTCACCCAAATGTCAACTCTCTAAACTGTTAGCTGTGAATATTTTCTTAGTACCTGTGTAGAAAAATTGATACAATTAGCAACGTGGCCAAACCTCTACACTTCCAATGACTGGAGCGTTAGTATAAAAGGGGACCGAACATAATGAGGGCAGAGGAAGGGTATGAGTATTCAAAATCCAGCAAATGCAAATGACATGTTTAATGGCCAATTTTTCAGTTACACCTATTGACAACCAGCAGCAGTGTCTCATTCAAGTATGCATGGGCTGCACTTAGGAGAAAATGATAGTCATGCCAGTCTTGAGGGCAGGCTACTGCCATAACAATTAATTGAAGGTCCCAAAAAAACTGTAAGAAGCACAGATAGCAGCTCTATTCCTCATGGCATTCAATAGACACAGAGCTCACAAACAGAATAGCCTGCAGCACCTATTCCCTTCAATTTACTATATTGTGAGCTATCAAGCTACAATCCAGACTAATGAGTAGCTGTGTCACACCAGCCCTCTGAAATGCTTTGCTGCTGTAGCGTCCAGCATGCAGGCCACTCCTAGTTATGTCTGTGTATGTGCTGGAGCCAAACAGCCACACCTTGGTGCTTATCAGCCTTGGTTACACTGCAGGTAACCCAACTACACTCCCAGACTTATATTTCTGAGGGGAAATCTATGTTCAGTAGAGACTTCCTAGAATTCAGTTGCCATAATTTCTAAAAATTTCATCTTCACTGAGCACGCTTGAAATCTCTCACAGTTCCTAAAAGTTACTTACCTGGTTCAAAATTGTACATATAATTTTAAGAGAGAATTTGCAGCTCGCAAATATCTGGACTTTAGACTTGCAGCCCAATCTTTGCAAACCTAAATTCTACAAAGGAGTTGGGAGGCTTGAGCCCTAACAACCATGTATCCCGTATGAGTAACACAAATGCTAAAGCTCAGTTTTGTCCTCAGAACAAGGGACAAGCACAACAGCCCAGTAAGGAACGTGTAATTCACGCAAGGAGGGAGTGAACTGAGCCAGGTTCATATCACACTCAGCATATATTCCCTGACATGTGGCAGGGTGAGGAAGCCAAAGGGGGAAGGGAACATAAGCCTTTACCCTGTTCTTCTCCCTCTCACCTATTTGCATAAAGCAGGGGACATAGTAGGCTCTTCAGAACCACTTCCTTTTTGTGCTGCTCCCCATTATGTGAGTAGCTAATGCAGAAGAGCACATTGGCACCTCGTGCCATTTTACAAGTGTGCTCCTGGGTTGCAAAGTAGCCCTAAATTAAAATCAAAACTAATCGGTCCAATATTAGTGCTTCATCTTACTTCTGCTTGGCCTGAGACCACCATTCTAACACTGTATTTTCATTCACTGCTGGTTTTCACGTCCAATGATTAGTAAAATAAAAGCCACCTTATGCACTGATGTGGAATTACTTATGTCTATCTTGTGTCCTTAATGTGTGGAATAGATTTTTATTATTTTTATTGGAGTAGGTACTGCAAATCTGATTACAGATAACCATGCCATAAACAAAGGCTAAAATCTATCATTTAAAATGCACTAGTCAATATTTGAATTATATTGCAAACTCTCATCTGTTAATACAGGAAGTTCCTAACTATGTATCCAAGCAAGCACCAATAAATTATCACACACACATTTTATATTTATTTTGAGGGTTGAGCCCTAAAGACCATGCTATCCCTTACGAGTAACACAAATGCTAAAGGCTCAACCCTCATATACACACACACACACACACACACAATACATACACACACACACACACACAGTTTTTAATACCTGTTACAGTATCTTTTTCTTACTTACAAAGAAATTTCTCATTGCAGTGAAGTGATTTATAACCATTCCAGTATTTGTCCACTAAATCCAGAAGTTGTTCCATAGGTGTGGTTTCATATATATGTTTCTTAGCTGTTTGAGTTGCTACTTGATGTGTTTCAAACACCTGAATAAAAAGATTTAAAAATATTTCATTCACTAGAACTGCAAATGTTTGTAATGTAGTCCATAGTCTTTTAAGTGCAGAAATGTAACTTGCAACAAAGAAAGGAATTTTAAACTGACTAAATCAGGTAGTTTGGGCCCAAAATGAGTAGTCCCAGGTAATTTTAGTACCAGGTAATTTTAAAGATGTAGTTTCCTTCACAGTTCCCAGTTCTCTTATATTTGTATTACTAAAAACTTTTGGTCTGAAAATGCCTATGCTTGGTTTCTGCCTAAAAGATGAACTGAACTGTCTAGGAAAAATTCTGACCACACTTCTGTCAACTATTTTTGAACTATCGAAGGGTAAAATATCATTACATGTGGGGCTGATAGTACTTCCTAGCCTGACACTTCCTACTATAAGATCTTGTTTTCAGTTGCTTATAACTCGGTCATATTCAAACCATTTCCATTGACATTTTATACATTGTGTGGTTTTGCCTGATTTTTTTGTGGGGGGTGTGTGCAGAGAAAATAGGCAGTTTCCAAAAACCCAGCTAGAAAAAAAAATACATTTTGCCCATGATAATAATGCCTGATGACAGTTCTGGCATCCCCATGCTTTGCAATGGTGATGCAAAATTTGACAGGGATGTAGCCTATGTGTTAGGAATATGTTGTTTACACAAGGGGGCAGACAAGCCCAAATCTGGTCAATAAGCTTTGGGAAGGGGGAAAAACATGTACATGCTCAGTAGAGTCTTCCACGACTTCAGCTGCCATTATCTCCTAAGATTTCATCTTCCCTAAGTAGCCTTAAGTCTCTCACAGTTCCTAGTGCTGACCAAAACTGCAATGCACCATCCACATCATTTCCCAAACACTACCCAGGATCTCTGTGGCACAGGCAGGGACAGAATCCAATACTAAGAGCGGAATTCAACGTCAACCTTCCTGCAATCCTCTATCTCTTCTTGAAATCCCCTCTCTCATTCACTACACTCCTTCCAACTCCAGCAACAAATGACGCAGGGGTGCTACAGACAACAACCTCCTTCATTACACAATACTGATTCATAGGGTTGCCAGATGGTTTCTGAAAAAATACCGAACCAAAAAAAACCAGTATGGCCCCTTTAAGAAATGCTTTGCTTTTGAGGCTTTTTGGCCCTAACAGGCTGCCGGCGGCCGCCCGCCATCTTGCCTTTCTGTGCCGGGCTGGACAGCTCCCCTGTGGAACCCGGTAAGCACCTGGGATTTCTGCATCCTGTCCAGGAAAAAAAAAAAATCAGAAAATATTTCCTGAATTTTTTTTTACCGGACAGGAGGCAAAAATACCAGACTGTCCAGTTCAATACCGGACACCTGGCAACCCTACTGATTCATCACCAGAGCAAGCACCATTCTATGCATTTAACAAGGCAAGGGATTGGGGCTAACAGTATTTGATCACATCACTAAAGACTGAATGATTTAAAACATACACATGAAAGGGGCCAGGCAACCTTGATTCTAACATTTTCTAACTTTAGAGTACTTGAATTTACAAGCTTAATGTTTTTAATGTGTTTTTCTTATGTAGTATGTGTATGTATATATAAGCATCTACTATAAAGACACAGTGAGAAAAATATTCTCTCCCAGACAACTACTCTTGTTAAATGTTTTTTAATAGGGTTATAGCAAAAACAAATGAAATTTTAAACACCATACCGATAAAATACTGCTTGGTCTGAGCATGGGAAAGTTAAGTTGTAGGTGTTTTGAAAATGGATTTTTGAGAGGTGTGTATGCCTGAGAGTGTAAATTTCAGCAGAACTTTGTGTCAGATGGATATGTATCTTCACTAAGTCCCTCTCACATTAGCCAAAGATCCAGTGTCCAGTTCCCTCAGTCTGCTCTAGGACAAGTGAAGGAGATAGTAGCTTTTACTAAAACATACACAGAAAAGTCTAAGACAACCTTAACATCAGGGAGAGGGGAAAAAATTGCTGACAGATGTATAAAAATAAATCACAGAAGAATACTGTCTTTTGCAATGTAATTTTTTTGAAGTATCTTTTTCGCTTATAAGTCACAACTGCCACAATAGGAAACTTTCTCCAGCCAAACAATAGTAGGAGCCAAAGATGAGAATACAGCTCCCTGAGATATGAGCCACAAAGCCAAACAGACCATCTACGTTCTTACGTGAATAAGCACGGGGTATTTGATTTAATTTTATTTTCTCTTAAAAATACTGTCAACTCTCACAACTTTAATCATAATTTCTATTTACTGTAAGGAACAAAACAATCCTGCATTTTTAGGGAGCTGGAGAGAATGATCTAACAATTTTTCTGTCTATTTAACTAACTTGAAGCTGCTGCAAAACTTCCAGGACAACAAAGAATTTTGTGCTGCTATGCCACAGAAGTGAGAAGGCCTTGCTGCAAAGTTTAGGTCCAGGGCACAACAAAACACACAGGACCTTGCCATATACTGTCAATATGTTATATTTACAATCCCCAGTTTTTACTGCATCAAGGGGATTAGTAATAGACACTACTAAACCATGTTCCTCGGTGGCGGCATTCTACATAGGGATGTCTGCATGTAGATGACTACCTGATTAACTAATAAATCTGGGCTTATCGGTTAATCTTGTCAAGTACATGCATCAGAGGCAGCAAGGGGAGGACAGGAGTTGGTGCCCATGAGGAGCTGGCTTAAAAGCACTGGATCTGCCATTCCACCCCTACCCCTTCACTGCTGCCTCTGATACTGCGTGGGGGGAGGAGGAGGCAAACAGGAGCCAATATATGCAAGGACCTGGCTTTTAAGCAGGCTCCCCGCGTTTGCCAGCTCCACGGATTCACCTGCCCCCCACCTTGCTGCCTCTTAAAAGCCGGTTCCCCCCAGCATCAGCTCCACAGTGCCACCTGACTCCCCAGCCCTCCACCCAGAGCTGCTGTCTCTATCGAGGCAGGGGGACGGGAGAGAGGCATAGGAGGCTGCATGAAGCAGCCACGGAGCAGTCTGTGTATCAGAGGCAGCAGTGCAGGGCGGCAGGCAGGAGCCGGTCTGTGTGGGAAGCCAGTTTTTAAACTGGCTTCCCTTGTGGACCAGCTACTGTCTGCCACCCTTCGCTGCTGCCTCTGATAGACTATTTAATTACACAACTATTCAATTACATGCTGTCTAATATCTCTAATTCTACAGGATCACATCAGATAATGAGCAAGCTGAAGTACTATTTCATAATGTGGATGTTATGGGCACTCCTTCATGGCAGGATAAAGACAGTGCACAGAAGGCAAATTGGTATTGGTTGGGGGGAATATTAATAATTTGTTTTATCTTTTGTTTAATAATTTAAGCTAGTAAATAATGAACACTGACAATTACTAAACACTTTAAAGAAATTACTAACTCTTCTATGCTAACATTTTACCTCTCCCACATCTGTCGTTATGCTATTTGGTCTTTGCTCTCCAGGTCCAGATCCCAGAATGGAAGAAGGATAGTGTCTGCCACGCTCTTGCATTTCTTGTTGAGATACGCTAACATCAAGTTGTCCATTGTTTTTCTGCAAAGCTGCAGGGTAAGTTTGTTTTTGAACTGGTTGGTTTCCTTCATTATCTGATGTTTTATTAAGAAGTGACCTAGATGCTGCTAATGTATTAAAAATCTTCTGAGTCTGCATATGTATCTTTGGAGAGATGCTTGGAGAAGAAATTTCTTGAGAGTCTCCAAAAGAAAAAAAAATAGAGTCAATTAAACAGTATGATCTTGTACTTTTTAAAATTAGAATCAAAAGTCAAAATTAACAAAACATGAATATTAAATTTAAACAAGGACTGAGCTACTTTTCTCTGAACACTAGTAAAGAGATTATAGGTCAAGAAAAATGTAACTTTTTTTTCCAGTTTTGAAAAAAAATGGTTACTTGCCTTGTAACTGTTGTTCTCCGAGATGTGTTGCTTATGTCCATTCCATGTAGGTGCGCACACTGGTGCACAAGTTCTGGAAGCTTTGTACCCTTAGCAGTACCTGGTGGGCCAGCAGGGGAGCCCCCTTTGAGTGGCACTACTATATCGGTGCATATATACGCCTGCTGGCCCTCCACCTCTTCAGTTCCCTCTTGCCGGAGAAGTTCAATGAAGAGGAGACGGGTGGGATTTGGAATGGACATAAGCAACACATCTTGAAGAACAACAGTTACAAGGTGAATAACCATTTTCCTTCTTTGACTGCTTGTTTATGTCCATTTCATGTAGGTAACTCCCAAGCTATACCTATGGAGGAGGGGTTGGAACCTATGAGGATATGGTCTGCAACACTGCCCTACCAAGGGCTGCATCCTCCCTGGCCTGATGTGCCACTGCATAATTGCTGGTAAATGTATGGATGGATATCCAGCTAATTGCCCTGCAAATATCCAGAATGGGCACCTGTGCCAGGAAAGCCGTGGACAATGCTTGGATCCCCAGAGGAATGGGAGGTGATGGCAGGGGCTGATTTTACCACTAGCTCATAGCATGTTCTATGCATGCAGTGATCATTGAGGACAAGCACTGTGCCAAAACAAGGAGGCCCCCTTCATCCTGTCTGCTACTGAAATGAAGAGCTGTGTGGACTTACAAAATGCTTTCATTCTGTCTAAATAAAGCAGAAGGGCTCTCTCCTTACATTTAGAGAGTGTAACACCTGTTCTTTGCAGGTCACGTGCAACTTGGGATAGAAAACCGGTAAGATGATATCCTGGAACATGTGGAACGGTGACACCACCTTTGGCAAAAAAGCCAGATGTGGTCATAGCTACACCTTGTCCTTAAAGAATACTGTATAAGGGTGCACTGAAGTGAGGGCCCTACGAAACCAGTCTGGCTGAAATAATGGCCACCAAGAATGCTTCTTCCAAAAGAGGAGATACACAGAACATGTAGCTATGGGCTCAAATGGGGGACACATAGGACGCGTGAGTACCAGGTTAAGATCCCACTGAGGTATGGGTTGTTTAATGTGAGGGTATAATCTCTCCATCCCCTTCAGGAAAAGCTTTACTATAGGGTTCGTAAAAACTGTTCCACCTCGTTCTCCCAGGTGGAACATAGAGAGCTACAAGGTGCACCCTCACCGATGAGGTGACTAGCCCTTGCTGCCTAAGATCCAGCAAGTAGTCTAAAACGAGGGGAACTGACATCTGAAGCAGATCCACCCCTTTCTGGGCATCCCATGACTCAAAGCGCTTCCACTTGGCCACATAGGTAGCCATAGTGGAAGGCTTCCTACTTCCCATGAGCACCCTGCGAACCAAATCCCAACACAAATATTCCTCTCCCCTTAACCACAGATCTTCCAGGCCATGAGGTATAGGGACTGGAGGTTCTGGTGATATAGGTGACCTTGTGTCCAGATCCTGTGTTATGAGGTCTAGGAGCAGTGGTAGCACAATCAGGTCCTCTACTGAAAGATATAGCAGGGTGGTGTACCAGTGGTGGCGTGGCCAGGCCAGGGCACCAAGATTACCAATGCCCCATACTCCACACCCTGAGAAGAACCTCATGTATGAGAGTGAAGGGCGGAAAATGTGTAAAGAATGGGATGGGGCCACTGCATGAGTAGGGTGTCTCCCTCCGACCCGGGGCAGTGGTTCAGATATGAACAGAACTAGTGGCACTTGTTGCTGTCCAAGGTGAACAGATCCAGTTGGGCGTTCCCCAGTTGCCAAAGAGCTCTTAGGCCACATCCTCCCTGAGGGTACGTCTAGACTACATGCCTTATCCTGGGATGAGGCATACCTGGGAGGTTGACAAATGCCTTTGATGTCGACCACGGAGCGTCCAGACTATTGCGCTGAGCCAACAAACAGCTGATCGGCTCAGTGCGGCAGCCATTTAAATTTAAATGAAGCGGCGATTATTTAAATCACTGCTTCATTTTCCTATGCTGGGTAGTCTAATCTACATGCCTCTGTCGCCAGAGGCATGTAGTCTAGACGTACCCTGAGAGACCATTTGTGAGCTCTGAGTCGATCCGCTAGAACACTGCGGGTTCCTGGAAGGTAAGAGGCCTATAGGTGGACTCCCTGTGCTATAAAGAGTTCCCATAGGCCAGGCTAGAATCTCCTGACATAGGAGAGAGGTATGAGCGCCACCCTGTCAGTTGATATAGAACATCGCTGCCAAACTGTCTATCAGAACTAAGATGCACTTGCCCCTCAGGTGAGGCAGGAACATCTGGCAAGCCAGACGAACCACACTCAATTCCCTGACATTTATATGCAGCGACTGCCCTGCCCACGACTACATACCTTGTGCCCTGAGGTCCGCAAGGTGAGCTTCTCAACCTGTGTCCAACGCATCTATCAACAGCTGCGCCAAGAGGGACCGCTGGGTGAAGGGAACTCCTTCGCACACCAAGTCCTCCTGCAGCCACCAGCCCAGGGAAAACAGGATCTCTGCTGGTATCAAGACAACTGTGTCTATGGGTGAGCAGGCCAGGTTGTACACCCGTGCCAACCATGCCTGCATGGGGCACAGGCATAACCTGGCACGCTGTGCCACATAAGTGCATGCCGCCATGTGCCTTATGCAGTTCCTCACTGTCGTTAAGGGAGACGCTGAAAAGGTGAGAATAATGTCCCGTATGGCTGCAAATCTGAGGCTCGGGAGAGATGCCATTCCCATTGTGACATTGAGCTTCGCCCCTACAAACTCTATAGTTTGGGTTGGAATGAGGATGGACTTTTCCTCATTCTTTGTGAGTCCCAGACAAGCGAACGTGCATGGTACCGGCTCTATAATCTGCAGTACCAAGTGCAGCGAATGGCCCCTGTTGAGCCAGTCGTCAAGGTAGGGGAACACTTGTACCCCCTCCGCCTTAAAAAGGTGGCCACCATTGCCATGCACTTCATGAATACCCTGGGGGCAGTGGAAAGGCCAAAAGGGGGGACCACAAATCATCCCCTCTAACTGTGAAGTGGAGGAACTGCCTGTGATGACAGATGGAAATAAGGAAATAGGCATCCTTTAAGTCGAGGGCAGCATTCCAGTCCTCTAAACTGAGGGAGGGGAATAACAGAAACCAACGTAACCATCCTGAATCTCGTCTTTTTGATGAAGGCGTTGAGCTCTTTGAGATCCAGGATGGGGGTGAAAACCGCCTTTGGACTAAAAAATTGGGATTAAAAAATACTGGAAGTAAAAGCCCTTCCCCCGAAACTCCAGTGGAACCTCTTCCACTGCTCCCAACAGCAAGAGCAAAGCTACCTCCTGTCAAAGAAGGTGCTTGTGAGAGAGGTCCAAAATGACAGTGGGAAGGCAGGGAGGTAAGAAACGGGATAGACTACTCTACCGCCACCGTGTCAAGGACCCACCACTCCACTCTGATGCTGCTCCATACACTGTGGAAGTAGGCTAGACGGTCTGTGAAGGAGCAATCTAGATTTGGGGCTGTCACTCCATCTGGGGGCACATCCTCAAAACCTTGACCTAGGGCTCTAGGATTTTATTCAAGGGGCCCACACCCTGGTCTGAGGCCGAACAGGACCTCCTCCTGTTGGACCTGCCATTATTGCCCCAGTTCCTCCTCCTATTATTGTCCTATATAGGACCCTCCTGATAGGCGTCATGGAGGCCTAGGGTTTGGTGGCTGTCTGAGGGACCTGAGTGTGTATACCCCAGGAATTAAGGGGTGCCCTGGAATCCTAGAGACTATGGAGTTTGCTATCAGTCGGTTCTGAGAACAGACCTGAGCCCTCAAATGGTAGATCCTGCATGGTGGTTTAGACCTCTGGCAGGATGCCCAAAATCTGGAGCCATGAATTCCACCTCATCACAATGCTGGTGGCCATAGATCTAGCTGCTGAATCAGCAGCATCTAATCCTCCCTGGAGGGCAGTACAGAAGACAATCCTACCCTCCTCTGCCACAGCCCCAAACTCCTGGCAGGATTCCTGTGGGAGCTGGTCCTTAAATTTGTCTCTTGACACCCAGAAGTTGTATGAGTATCTGTTAAGCATGGCCTGTTGATTGCGATACTTAGTTGAAGTCCTGCAATGGCGTATGCCTTTCGACCCAAGCGATCGAGCTTTTTGGGCTTCTAACTCTTTGGAGTGAAGCCTGGATGCCCTTGCCTCTCTCTGTAGTTGGAAGCTTGAACCACTAGGGATCCCAGAGGTGGGTGCGCATAAAGATGCTCATGCCCCAACTGGCACATACCACCTCCTCTCAACCCCCTTCTGTGTAAGTGGGATGGATGCAGGAGTCTGCCAGAGGGCTTTGGATATTTTAGCCACAGTCTTGTTCAAAGGCAGGACGATCTTTACAGGAGCATCTGCTGTTAAAATGTCCACAACGGGGTGAGAGTCCTCCACTACCTCGTCCGCCTGAACCCCCAGGTTTTGAGCCAGTCTTATTAGTAGCTCCTGGTGGGTTCTCATGTCCATGGCGGGCATTGCTAGCAGTGGATCTGAGAGCGCCTCTTCAGAGGAGAAAGATACGGAGGTGGCAATTGCTCCTCGCTCTGAGACACCTCCATTAATGGAGAAGGAGCCACTACCACAGTGGAGGAAGCCTCCCCCTCTGCTGGTGGCCTCTCTGGTTCTCTGTGGGGGTTAGCACTACTCTCCAAGGCAGGAGCCCTGGGAAACAGAGTGGCTGACAGCATAGCCCTACAGCATGAGTAGACCGACCCCATCCTGGATATAACCTGGCCCTGGGCCTGATGGTAGGCTCACAGAGTCTATAAAATGGCCACTGGGCCTGAAGTTACCAATGTGGAGGCCAGGACTGAGTCTGGGGCAGGCTCGCATGTCTGGAGTGGTGCCTGGAGTGGGACTGGTGCCAAGAGGAGGAGCGGTGCAATGATGCCCTGGGTGCAATCAACTCTGCTTCTGACTCCTGCAGTACTCGAAGACTGACCACAGTGGTGCCGCGGGCAATGACAAGGTTTGGTGCAGGGCTTAGTGGTGTACTATGACCATCAGCTTGCCCCAGTGCCGATGATGGTGGGAGGGTCCGAGTATTGAGGAACAAGGCAGTGCCTGGGTATTCTGGTCCATACAGGTCGACGACGAGAGAGATGGTGCCAAGGCAGAACCTGCAACCTACTGAGGCAGCATTGATACCGGAGCAGGAGCTGGTGCCAGAGGCAACAGTGCAGGTTGCTGTGGGGAAGACGGCAGGCTCGTAGCCTCCGAAAACATCAGTGCTAGCTGCCTCTCCTTGTGAGCCCACGCCCGAGAGTCCTCCCTGCAGTGTTGAACCTGGCAACAACATGAGCTCAATTAGGTCTTGAGTCATGTCAAAGGTGTCTGGCATCGGTGGTTCATGGATCTCCTCCATAGACAAGTCCTGGATCGCCGAACTACTCACATCCATGGAGCTCGAACTCTGCCTAGAAGGTACAGGAGCAACCTTGTGCCTCAGTAAAGAAAGAGCTTTCTGGTGTCCCCCCTGCAGATGCACCCCATGCTCCTGTCAGGATGGAGACCTACCTCTCTGATTTCTTTGAGGATGGACTCTAGGGCCAGTTTTGTTCAATATCTTTATTAATGCCTGGATGAAGGGATGGATTGCACCTTCAGCAAATTTGCCAAGGACACAAAGCTAGGGGGAAAGGTAGATAGGTTGGAGGGTAGAGATAGGGTCCAGAGTGACCTAGACAAACTGGAGGATTGGGCCAAAAGAAATCCGATGAGGTTCAACAAGGACAAGTGCAAAGTCCCACATGTGGGACGGAAGAATCCCAAGCACTGTTACAGGCTGGGGACCAACTGGCTAAGCAGCAGGGTCAGCAGAAAAAGACATGGGGATTACAGTGGATGAGAAGCTGGATATGAGTCAACAGGGTGCCCTTTTAGCCAAGAAAGCTAATGGCATATTAGGTTGCATTAGGAAGGGCATTTTCAGCTGTTCTAGAGAAGTGATTATTCCCCTTTATTCAGCATTGGTAAGGCCACATCCGGAGTACTGCGTCCAGTTCTGGGCCCCTCATTATAGAAAGGATGTGGACGCACTGGAGAGGGTCCAGCAGAGGGCAACCAAAATGAATAGGGGGCTGGAGCACAAGACCTACTAGAAGAGACTGAGGGATCTGGGCTTATTTAGTTTGCAGAAGAGAAGAGCAAGGGGGGATTTGATAGCAGCCTTCAACTTCCTGAAGGGAGGTTCCAGAGAAGATGGAGCGAGGCTGCTCTCAGTGGTGACAGATGGCAGAACAAGGAGCAATAGTCTCAAGTTACAGCGGGGGAGGTCTAGATTGGATATTAGGAAAAACTATTGCACTAGGAGGGTGGTGAAGCACTGGAATGGGTTACCTAGGGAGGTGGTGGAATCTCCATCCCTAGAGGTTTTTAAGTCCCAGCTTTACAAAGGCCTGGCTGGGATGGTTTAGTTGGGATTAGTCCTGCTTCGGGCAGGAGGCTGGACTTGATGACCTCCCGAGGTCTCTCCCAGCCCTAGGATTCTTTACTATGACTTCAGTACCAGGTACTGGGACCAGTGCCACAGTGCCGAGAAGCAGCTAGACGCTGCTAAATGCCTCAGGGTCACCTCTGATTCACACACTGAGGCTATGTCTAGACAGCAGGCTTATTTCGGAAGAAGCTTTTTCATAAGAGATCTTCCGAAAAAACTTCTTCTGAAAGAGAGCGTCCACACTGCAAAAGCGCATCGAAAAAGCAATCTGCTTTTGTGAAAGATAGAATGCATTCAGTGTGGACTCTCTCTCACATTTCAGCTATGATTACTATGGACGGAGTGGCCACCAGGGCACCTGTGCTTTTTCCTCTTTCTTCTTCTTTTGAAAGAACTCCCTCTTCCCTGTCCACACACACCTTTTTCCGAAAGAGCTCTTTCGGAAAAAGGCTTCTTCCTCATAGAAAGAGGTTTACCAATGTCAGAAAAAACCCTCTGCTCTTTCGATTTTCTTTTGGAAGAACACAATTGCAGTGTGGACATAATTGACATACCCTAACGCCAGTGTGCCACAGACAGCTGGTATCAAGGCTAGTGCTGAGGGCTGCAGAGCCAACTCCAGCCTAGAGTTCCTCTCTCTTTTTATTCCAGGCTTGAATATTCTGCAAATTTTACACATATCTGTTAGATGTCCTTCCCCCAGACACTTCGGGCAAGCGTCATGGGGGTCTCCACAGGGCATAGGCTTCTGGCAGGAAGAGCAGGGCTTGAAGACATGAGACCACGGCAACTCCCCTATCTCCCACCCCCAAAAACACTAGTTTACCTACTCTATTTACATCTAACTCAAACTATTTACAGATTATTAGCAAGAGAAAGCCAAGGGTGCACTTGCAAAAATCATAAGCCAAGGCGTTCCAGCAACTGTCACGGGCAGTAAGAAGGAACTGAAGGGATGGAGGGTCAGCAGGAGTATATATGTGCCAATATAGTGGCACCACTCTAGTGTGCTCCCCAGCAAGCCCACCGGGTACTGCTAAGGGTAAAAAGCTTCTGGAACTCATGCATGCAGCATGCACACACCTACATGGAAGGAACATAAGCAAACACTCAAAGAAGAAGTCTGTTTTCATTGAGTGACCTCTGTATATATTAAGGATATAAAATCCAAGTGAGAGATGACTAAGCATAAAGGGCTGTTATTAGCCCCATCATAGGCTTATAGACATCATTTGAATAAAAAGTATTTCATTACTATAGTTGAGGCTATAGGAAATGAGTGGAGAGTTCATTTATTAAACCTGTGGTGTCCAACACACTAGCTACATGCAGCTATTTGGCCACCTGACTGTGTCTAGTTGGCTTGAACAATGTGGCTATTTGGCCAGTTGAGTGTGGCTAGTTCACTATACCTAGGGAGACCATCAGTCCCCGTTTTTAGTGGGACAGTCCCATATTCAAGGGCTGTTCCCATCATCCTGACGTTTTTTAAAAAAAATAGGCACACTGTCCTGCAGAAGGCGGGGAGGAGCTGCCAGCCCTCAGAGCTTCAGCCAATGAAGCCCCAGTGCCGGCGGCTCCTCTCCCCTCAGCCTCAGTGGGGCTGGAGCCCTGAGTGCCCCCCCCACCACAAGGCTGAAGCCCCAAGCGACAGCAGCCCTCTCCCTCCCTTGGGGTATGTCTACACTACCCCCCTAGTTCGAACAAGGGGGGTAATGTATGCATACCGAACTTGCTAATGAAGCCTGGGATTTGAATTTCCCGGGCTTCATTAGCATAAAGCCGGCGCCGCCATTTTTAAAAGCCGGCTTGTTCGAACACCGTGCCGCGCGGCTACACGCGGCACGGGCTAGATAGTTCGAACTATGTAGTTATTCCGAACTATCTGTACGCCTCGTGGAACAAGGTGTACAGATAGTTCGGTCCACTAGTGCTAGTCCGAACTATCTAGCCCGTGCCGCGTGTAGCCGCGCGGCACGGGGTTCGCACTAGCCGGCTTTTAAAAATGGCGGCGCCGGCTTTATGCTAATGAAGCCCGGGAAATTCAAATCCCGGGCTTCATTAGCAAGTTCGGTATGCATACATTACCCCCCTAGTTCGAACTAGGGGGGTAGTGTAGACATACCCTAGGTGTCCCATATCTTGCATGGGGAAATATGGTTACCCTAGCACCTATAGTGGCTATAGCTTCAGAACTGGTTGGAGACCATGGCATTAAGCACTTCTTGTAAAATGGCAAACATTATACAGCCATATTCGAAAAATCCACTAGGTGGAGCTATTGACATGGAACAATTATAAAACGGGAGACCAAAGATTTCAACCAAAATTCCTTCTGGGGAATTCCTTCCCAGTTCTCTCAGAGACCCATGCAGTTCCATTATGACTCCTACAACCACCGGATGTGTGTGAGACAGTCATCTTTCACCAATGTATAATTAAATAAAAAACTATGCAAGTCACATTTTGACTTGAATATCACAACTGACTGTAGACTTTGCTGACTAACATATACAGAACACATGGAAATTTATTCAACTTGTAGATATTGTGTGGTTTGTGGTGTTTTTTTCCTGTTTCTCTCATTTGGAGTTAACAGAGGTCTGATTAAAAATACTCTCAGAAAAACCACAAATGAGATAGCAGAACTGCTGTAACCAAACACTTACATATAAATACACAGAGGACAATGAAAATTTGCATTACAGAGTTTAACTGCACAACTCAAAGAATAAAATGCTTTTGCAGTGGTTACCTGGATGAGGTGTGAAATTGGCCTGGGTTGTAATTTTTTTATAAGATTCAGCTTCATCTTGAAATTTCAGATTAGGGTCTCTCTTGGGAAGATCTTGAGTGTTATTATCTGAAAATGTGACTTTGGTGCTATTTTTCTTCTTATCTTTCCCTTGCTTAATGGTATTATGTACAACAGGCAGAGTTGGAGAACAGTCTGGCAAACTTCTGTACTCTAGAAAAAAAATATATCTTGTTTTAAAAACTTATTTGATCTCCTTAAATTAGATGGTGGAAACAAACATTATAGAGATATTAAAAAAAAATAGTCTAATAGCACTTTAAAGACTAACAAAACATGTAGATGGTATCATGAGCTTTCGTGGGCACAACCCGGTCATCTGAAGAAGTGGGTTGTGCTCACAAAAGCTCATGATACCATCTATATGTTTTGTTAGTCTTTAAAGTGCTACTAGACTATTTGCTGAATAGTGACAGAAATGTAGCTGTGTTAATCTGATGTAGCTGAAACAAAAAACAGGACTATGTAGGATATCCTTTGGTAAATATGGTTGTGCCAATTTTCTTCCACTATTTGATCTGAGGAAGTGGGTCTGGCCCACGAAAGCTCATCACCTAATAAACCATCTTGTTACTCTTTAAAGTGCTACACAGTCCTGTTTTTTGTTTTAGACTATTTGTTGTTTTTTAAGTTTTTCTGGTTACAGACTAACTCGGCTACCCCCTGAAGATTACATATAAACTCCATCTTGGAATTTGTAACACAGAATACACATTGATAGAGGATCAGAGTATTTTTTAATAAAAGTTGGTAAACTTTCATTCTTCATTGAGGAAACTGGGTGTATAAATGAGTCTCCTGTAGGTCTCCACACAATAGCAATACACAGGATGCAGAATTATTTGCATAAGGTATGAACCTGAAATATTTTCAAATGCTGTTGCAGGGCTAACAATGAGTACATTTATCTTGGATAAAAAGCATCTGATACAAACATGAAATCAATCATTAAAAACTAGAACAGATTAAATTAGCCTCTCTTATGCATGTTGAATCCCTCGGCTTCTCCTTTATTTGTCAGTAAATCTCTTATAGTAGTTAATTAATGGTAAATAGCCCAATTAAATTGGAATATTCTATAATTGACAAATGAGATTAAAACTACATAATATTTACTCATTTGTTATATTAAAGATTGTTCTTTGTACACAGACATAATATACAGTGCAAGGTTAACACAATAACAACTGTTACCTTCATCAGTTTCCTGATCTTTCAACGCATTTCTGTTTTCTGAACTAACATCCTAGATTTAAAAAAATCAATACATAAATCAGAATAAAAACAAAGCACTCAGGAAACTGTACTGCAAATCTGATAAAGTGCTTCAAATCAAGACCTATGCCTTAAAAGCTTTATTCTACCTCTTAAAATCAAATTAAATTATATTGCTGAAGCAGCTGCTGCTGCTAAATTTGCAAGTCTCTAAAGGTTTCTATAAAGGTGAAAGTTCCTAAAAGCAGAGATGAATAGCATTTTAGACAAAAAAGAAAAATGCTTAACTAAAATACTTATATTTTCTCTCGTTTCAAGCCTCGTTCTTACATGTCCTGCAATAGTTGATTATATCATCAGCTGTTATATGAATAGCCACAGAATGGATAATTCAGTACAAGTAAATAAAGGAGGTATGTATTTTAAAACATTTATGTGCTTGAAAGATATTTGCACTTTAAAACATTTTGTTTTAAACTGCAAATATCTTTCAAGCACATATTGTGACTGGTTTGGAATTCTGAACAGTTTTTTTAAGAAAAAGACTTCAAAACTTTAATTCAATTTTACATAAAGTGTACTGCCACTTAGACCTCCATCCCATAAAGTATAATATACAGGTGCTTAACTTCAAGCATGTGTGCAATCCAAATGCTCAAAATTAAGCATCTGTATAAATCTTTGCAGGCAAGTTTACAATTCAGTAGAAATTTTGGCAGGCAATATCTCCCCTAAATTAACTGTACATGTCCTTTTAATAGAAAGTAAGTGAATGATAGACTAACAAGAAAACATTTCTGAACAAAGTGCTTATCTAGAGTTCTCTCTGATTATTTCCCCTTTTCCAAAGAGAGAGAGAAATCACCTATAACATGTTGAAACCAATAGTAGATTTTTATAAAGAACAGCATACCATCTATAATACTCAGTTTATTACTGGACCAGTACAGTGAAATATATTTTAAAAGATGTGCATGGCATCCTGTGGTGTGACTCTGCCCCACCCTCCACTAACCCACCAAACAATGAACCAGGGTTACTCAACACACAGCCGCATGCAGCCTGTGGCTTGTTTGTTTGCGGCCCGCAGTGCAGTTTGGGTTTACACAGGGCTCAAGACATGGCCCACGGGTGGGATCCTTTGAACATGGCCTCCACTGAGAACACGCTCCATAATGGTGAGTCAATATAACGATCTTCTGTTGATATGTTTTACTAGTTAAATTCCTGGACTGTCATTGCTCATTAAAAGTGCTGTCAAATGGATGGAAATGGGGTAAATATTTCATTTTATTAATATCAACAGAACTGACTTAAATGTGCTGTGAGTATCATTGTGGCCCCTGGGGCTTCCAAAGTTGAGTAGCCCTGGAATAAACTATCCATGTGGACCCTGCTGATGCATGTGATCAGTTTGTTAGTGCATTCTGATCTAGTGCATTCTGATCTAGTCCAGAGAACTACATCAAAGCACAGTAACAAGCAAGCAGTTATTGAACATCAGCATGGTCCACAAGGACAGTTGGTCTATGGCTTGCAAGTGCAGGAAAGATTCAGATCCCTGTTTAGCGCAGACTAAATGTTCATATAGACAACCCCTTATCCAGAATTAGAGAAAATTCTAGAGAATAATTTAAGAATAATTTCTGAAACTATTCTCACTTCAACTCATATCATACTTCTTATATACATATTTATTCTAAGTCTCACAATCTATATGTGCACATACAATTTTTCTCAATTACTCAAAGCATCCTCACTATTTCAAGTAATGACTCCCTTACAAAAAACTGAATAAATAGGTGGACTTTGCAATGTGACCCTGAGATTAAGAAACTTAGGCTCTCTTCCCCCAAAGAAAGGAGCAAGATTCAGAAGTGAAGAGTCGCCTCTGAAATACATCCTGCTACCGGACCTCTCATTTAAATTTGGGGCTTGTCAATTTAAGGAGACTATCAAGTCTCAAAAGTCAGACAAAAGTATAAAGAGAGAGATGGCTACTGAAGTAGCCAGAGCTCAAACCAATTTCTGAGCAAAACACCAATACCTTATGCTGTACCCAGATTCACTGGCAGCAAATTTAAGTCTTAAAGCATAGATATAATATGGTCCTTTTATAAAATATCACTGAGTCTGCAGCATATTCTGCATTAGCCTCTCTTTGCATGCAATACTACCACACGTATAAGCAGTGCAAGTGCCAAAACCAGACCAGCTTTGGCTTAAGGGCCTTCTTCATGAAGGAAACCTAGGCTTTGGAACTCACCAATCCTGGTTCAAAATAGTCCAAAGTTGTTTATCTTCAAAATGCACTGAAAACCCCTCAATTTGCTCAAGATTTTGGAGAGGGACACCTTTATTTTTTCATTTTTGTGAAATGTGTAATGTTAGGTTACTTGTCTTGATTAATATTTTTCATTACCTGTCAAAGGCACCTACACATGAAGAACAACCTTGTGAATGTAAAATGAAGTATGTTCAGGCAAAAAGTGGTTATAGATGGCTCTGAACATTAACATTTAAATTCCCTTGGATTCTGGCACATACCATGTTAGTGCCAAATGAGGACTGAAACCAACCTGCACATTAGCTATTGCATGTATTAATGAACATGGTGTTGGTTCTATGACAGATTTCAATCAACACTGACCCACTTCTACCAAAGAATTTTTGTCTGTCAGGTACCTAGCATTCTTTTGGAACTATATTCATAAAAAACAAACCAACCACACACTAAAAGCGGAGCTCCATTTTGAACTTTTTCTACTAAAGAATTCACAGAACACTAAGGATATACTGTAATAAAAGATGGCTAATCAGAGCCCTGTGAGCTTAAAAAAAAATCAGCTAAAACCCCCATGGGGAGCGAGAGAAGTTCCAGCTCAAGTCCTGACATCTACATTGCAATTTTATAACTCTGCAGTCTGATACCAAGTCAGCTGACCTGAGCTATGCTGGGGATCTTATAGTGCAGATGTATGCAAAGGGAGTCCTACAATTTTCCACTTTGGTAACACTGGTGCAGTTCTACTGCTAGTAGCACTGGTATGAGGAATAGTATAGTCTAATTGTCAGCACTTTAATCCCTACTCAGAGCAAGATTAAATGTGATTTAAAATAGTGGTAGCCACAAGAATTTTGAATTAGTAGTGCTAGCCATCCAGTTTTCAACCAACATCATTAACTGAACATACAAAAGGCTAGATTCAAGCATTTTAAGAACACTTCATTTACAGAGAGATATACAGGACATTCTTACAACCCTGCACTTCTGTATCTACAGTGTTTCACTCCTAAAACCCATATGGTAGCTTACCAGCTCAAATAGTTAAAGACAACACAATACAAATGTATTTGTCTCTAGGGTTTGTTTTTACCATATGCATATTTGCTTGTTGCTTCCGCATTTGTAGGCCAACGGGTCTAGTTTCAGATTTCTGATTCATAGTAATGCCAGCATTATCTTCAATATTGCGAATACCTCAGGAAATAAGAGACTGAATTAAAGTTTAGTAGTTGTATGAAACAGACTAAGTTTAATAAGGTTCCAACATAATAGCTATATAGAGTCACAGGGCCTCCCTGGGTTTTGGAGGATCAATCCACAAGGATGAGGAGTCAATCTTCCTATTACTTTTTCAGGAGTTAAATCCTGCCCCACCACCTTCCCAAATGCAAGAAAAACTGAAAAGAAATTCCAACAAAGCACTTTTCTTTCCAATGTGTAGGAATAGCACAAGGGGGAGGTGACAAGGCCCGGAATTCTTAAGGCTTCAATATGAATTTCTGGATTCAATATTTGCATGGTGGGAAAGTACTACTACTACTACAGAGCTCTTCGGTGCTGAAGTTACTATTTTTATTTCATAACAGTATTTTATTTCACAGTGTTTTTCAAAGTTTCTACTAATGGATGTGTCTCAGAACAATGGGGCTACATCTACACTGCAGGCTTCTTGCGCAAGAACAGCTGTCTACACTGCACGCGCGTTCTTGTGCAAGTAAATTTACAGTAAAACGTCAGAACAGAGGGCTTCTTGCACAAGAGTTATTCCTCTTCCCACAAGGAATAAGCCCTCTTGCGCAAGAGCTCTTGTGCAAGAAGGCAGTGTGGACGGGCAACAGGGGTTTCTTGAACAAGAGAGCGTCCACACTGCCATGGACACACTTGCGCAAAAGCACATGGCAGTGTGGACGCGCTCTTGCACAAGAACTTTTGCACAAGAACTCTTGCACAAAACAGTTCTTGCGCAAGAAGCCTGCAGTCTAGACGTAGCCTGGATGTTTTACTCAATTTCTCTTCCATATAGTACCTTTCATATAAAATATGATACATAAAGATTTCAATGGAAAAAAAAGATTTCAATGGAAAAAAAAAAGAATATCAATGTTTACATATATTATGCATAAAAACCTTTAATTTTAGTGTTGATTTATGACTGCTTTAAAAATATTAAAGTGTTGCATTTGAACATAATCAGAGACACAGAGAACATATGGCCCCTAACCTCTGAAGATCTCTTTAACAAGTTTTTCCACAAATTTTAAAAAGGTGTATCAACATACTCTGTAAACTGTGAAATTCTACTTCAGGGTCCTTTTTAGCTGATCCTGTTATTCCAAGAGGCTTGCTCAAGTCCCATTCACACTTTGTAATTAAGTTTAGCACAGCTTCATCCTCTTCATCCATCCTTGAACACTTTCTTGACATGGAGCTAATATATGCTATCCTGGGGTGGCCAGATCTGTTAAGGAAAATATACTGTCAAACTGTCACCTTATTTTAATGTTGTGGTTTCCTATATTTAAATATCCTTTTTCTGTTGATAATAAGCAACTTTAACATTGACACTCAGTAAATAAGTAATGGACCAACCCAGTTTTTATTCTAGATACAAATTAGTTGGTTTTGTTACAAGATGTTGAATAATGAAAATGTACTAGATTTACTCAGGAGAAGTGGTTTTAACTCCTCGGTCTGACACTCATTTCTTGTTGTGGGTGATTGACTTTTTGTTTTGTTCTTTTTAGGCCAATCATTTAATCTCTGAGTCAGTTCCCCGCCCATAAAATGGGAAAAAATATTTTTTCCCTTTTTCCACCTTTTGTCTGTGTTGCTTTTAGGTTCCAATTCTGCAACTGACTCCAAACTATATTATAATTATTGGGTTTGTGTGGGAAATAATAAATATGTTAAAAGCAATCTTCTAACACATTTCTGAGAAGTAAAATTAAAACACTATGATTTTTATGCAAGTACCCAGCTTATCTATGGTTGATTAACTTTTAAATCAAAATGTTAAATAACTTCCTGCAAGTTTAAAAATATTTAGTGCCAGATTATTGAAAGAAAAAAAAAGAAGAATTCTATTTAGGATTTTAAAAAGCAATAGTAGAATATGAAATTTGTAGTTTGACAAGATTAACACATGCTAATCCACATAAATTTAGTAAAGGTATTACCATGAATAAACTCATTCAAATTAAAAACATATTTTTGGGTAAATTTGTTTAATCATACCAGTTCCTGAAAAATAGTTACAGTTGAACTGGGATTACATGCCTCCATCATAAAAGTAAAAGGGACATTTCCACAAAAGGATTTAGGTGCTTAACTGTCACTCTAGGTTCTGAAGTTCAAAATCCCATTCAGCTGGCTGCATAATCTTACAGGAGCCCAAATTCTCTAGGTATTTAAGTTTCTCCCAGTAAATATTTCTCCTGCCCAGTTAGGTGTGTAAATCTCTTGGGGTATGTCTACACTACCCCGCTAGTTCGAAATAGGAGGGTAGTGTAGACATACCCTTGGAGAGGTGGCGCTTAAGCCATACCTCTCTCCTATTGGCTGCTCAGTTTGTTGGCTTTTGTGGATGTCATTCTCAAACGCCTAGGGAGTGTAATCAGTGTCCTATTTTGCAAGGTACTGTACAAACAAACAAGACAGCTGCCTATTTACTATAATTACATAGTAAGTTAAAAAAGGTGAGTAAGTAACTGGACTGCTTTTAACATGAGATTCAGACAGACAAAAGGCAATTTGAATATAAGATTACCTCCCTCGATAAGTCCATTTGTAATGGTATACACTCTCAGATCTAATGTTCAGCTCTGAATGTGAAAAGACAGGCCAACAGGTACTCAGGGTGGAATCCACAAAGGGACTTAGGTGCTATAACACGGGTTGTTGAAATGCCTGTTAGCGTCTATAAAAATCAGTAACACTGTCCACAAAATATGGGAAATATATATACCTAACTCATATGATGCAAGGGAAGAGATAGGTGCCTTTAAAGATGATCCAGAAAAGCCAGCATGCTAGGTGGGTAGCCACCTAAGACATCCAATGGGAGATGCCGAAGATGGGTATGTGCTAGGCACCTTTCTCTGGGCAGGGGACAGGGTTTAAAATACAGGCTGCAGTGTGATTCCTATTTCTACTAAGCAATCCACTATTGGAAACTAGCTGCCTAGAGTCAGGGGGCTTAGATACCTAAGCAGTTTCTTCTAGGAATAGGTTAGGCACCTCTAAGCAAAAGTGCAGGATAATGTGGTGATACCACTGCTCCAACCTTATAAGTTTTTAGCCTCATGATTAAAGCACTTGCCTGTTCCCCCATTCTCTCCTGTTGAAGCTGTTTCACTGCAAAAAAATAATGAAGACTCATTGGGCCCAAGAGAGAGTGAATGAGACTAAGTCTATAGTCCAGTGATTAAGGCCTCTACCTAGGAGGTGAGAGAGCCTGGTCCAGTCCCTAATTCATTATTTACCCACAAATGAACTAGGGATGTCACCAAGTAGTCTACTAGATGATTAACCAATAAGCCTAGGCTTATCAGTTAACCTTGACAACTACTCACTTTCCCCCTCCCCACTGCCTCTGTATCAGAGGCAGCAAGAGGGGGGAGGAAGCAGCTTAAAAGCCGGTTCCCCTCAATACCAGCGGGCCCAGACACTCCACAGACAGAGTATGCTCTGGGAGATGCGGAGCAGCCTCTGTCCATGGCGAGCCTGAGCCCACCACAGGAAGAGGCTGCTTTGTGATATCAATCCATGTCCGCAGGGGGTCCAAGCTCTCCACAGAGCAACCTCTGTCTTTGCAGAGCTTGGACCCCAAGGACAGGGGCTGCTGCCACCCCACACTGCTGCCTTTGTATCAGAGGCAGGAG